GTGCGATGAAGTGCTATTAAGTTTTGCTTGGATAACTCAGAAACAAGCTTAAGGTGAAGAAAGCTATTGTTTAGTATGACTCTGGGTGTATGTTCTGAAATTATTTTTGTTCATGGTCACATTAACAACTAACTGACATCGTCTCTGTGTGCTGATTTCAGGAATTACATGACAGAAGCCAAGTGAAAGCCGTGACAAGGGCAAAGTCTGTCTCTCAAGAGATGGTGAGAAAATAAAATGACGACCCACGTACTTTGTAAATTCTATTCTATAATAACTGTTTCTCTGACATTTTGCTTTCCTTCTAGGATGTGAGGATGTTAGAGATCCCTGCTGAGCTGTCCGCCAGACTCCACAGCACAGCAGGTTATAGTCATAAAAAAATCCAACTACAGAATCTATATGAAGAAGTCACAATATGAACATAAACAGTACTAACAATTTTTGGTGGATCCATTCATCCAACGAAGCTTGTGAATGCACTTGTGCCTCTTTCTCACAGGGCAGAAGCAGGGATCAGGAGTCACAGAGGTCCAACCTCCACAGGTGAAAGCAGAACATAAGCTCAACCTGCCTCTTGATGTTGACAGATACCCATTCTCACGCTATGCCAAGTCTGTATTAAAGGTGAGTAAAATATGAGCTCCCTAACATCACATCCGAAAGCATTACATTGACTTACATTTAATCACCTCACCTCAGTCTTAAATCCTCTCATCTGACTTGGGCTCTGGAGGCAACAAGCAATCTATCAGGACCAAGGTATCTAGATATTTAGTTAAAGACATCCTTTCTGTGGCAGTCATTGTTTACAAAAGCAGTTAATTCTTTTAATTAAAACATAGAACGCATTATGGATATTTAGACAATGGGACCTTTTTTTTTTAAAAAAAAAAAAGGAATACTCATTTTAAAAGTATTTCAATAATAAAATAAATCAGGACACCTCCAGTTTCATGATGTAATCGCCAAATATTAGAAAAATATTTTTTGACACACTTCTATAAAAATTTACCATGCAAAGAAGTCCACTCGTGCATGCATGTACTGAAAAAACATTAGCTACATGTATTGTTCGTACTCGTGTCTCCCTCAGGATACATGGTGCCAGCCTCAGGGATATCCCCTTCAGAAACCCCTTACAGCTCTAGAACCTGAAGATGCCAGAACTGCTTTGGAGATTTACAAACTGGTATTTTGAATTCATTAAAGTCTATGTGGCATTAAATACATTAAATATGATCTTTTGTCGTTAACTTAATTTTTTGTTTCATATCGTGTCTTTACAGATTTTGCATTTCACAGGAGATGTAGATATTAGCAGCTGGCAGGAGCAAATTTTAGGCAACTACATAGTGGAGAAAGGCCAAAGCCTGCCAGCCTTGAGGGATGAGATCCTGGTCCAGCTGGTTTACCATACTTGGAGCCTGAAGGAGGAGCAGCAAAGCTTGAGGGGCTGGTTGCTAATGGCCTGCTGCCTAAGTGCTTTCACACCATCACCATCACTGGACAAACATCTACTCAAGTAGGCGATACAAACATGAAAAGTAACCGTGACTCAAATATTATGTTTTGAAAGATTTGGGGGAGTTGACGCGCTGATGTCCCTGTCACCCTATCAAATGAAGGGACAGATCTGTTGGTTCGAAGTCACCTCAAGGCAACTGTTGTTGTGATTTGGAGTTAGTACTCACATCATCTTTAGATAATACACATAGGCTCTTGACTTTATGCGTAATGATGTCACATTCAGTCCTGTGGAAAGTTGTGTATTTAAAATATACACATTACCCTTAGCCATTACTGGCTACTCCAGCATGAATGACTCTAAATAACTTTATGGTAAATAACACAATATAGGCAAAAAAAATAATGTGAAACATTAAAAAGTTTTAGTTCAACATAAAAATGAGGATATTTAACCGTTCATCAGATTTTATTTAATGATGTCGTATGAAATTATAATGTTCTCTTCATGCAGCTGAAGCTGTGCAGGTCTGAGATCAGCAGCTTTCCTAAACACCAAACTGAGTTACCGTTTATGCTCTTTATAGTGACAAAGTTATATAATGATGATTAATCCCTTTGA